TTCCATAAATAATATAGTTTTACCTTAAATTAATTAGCTTATATGAAAATTTGGGGGAACGACACTAGTTGTGTGTAAATTAAAAACAATTATGTTATAAATCTTGCTAGAATTGGAGAAGAGGAATGGGAATTGGTTGAGAAGAGGAGTGGAATTGCATAGGGTAAAAAGGGGATCTTGACGAAGGCGATAGAGGCTAGGGATTTGGAGACGGAGATAAATCAATTGGGCAAGATTAATGATATGGCAGATGCAATGGCCATTTGGGCTAGTTAGATGTCATCGAGTGGTTGTGTTTCTCCTCAAATGATTTAACGATATAGCCATTCAATCCAGCAATCCGCAACACAATTCTGTGTAAGAATATGTGGCCCGAAAGCATTGGGCTCACATTTAATTATCCTATTGGGCCAGACCTTATTTAATAGTCAAACAAATCTAAGCCATTAATCTGGCTATTTGATGGACGTACCAGATCTAAAGACACCCCTATATAAATTAGTTCTCTCTCCTCCTATTAGGGTACGCAGTCATAATCCCATCACTTTTCTGCTACGTTAAGATTGGACAGGAGGGAGAAACTAATTTAGTTCTAACAATCGATCAAGCCTCTTGTGATCATCAAGATCAAGATCACTAATTATGTCGTCTTCCGCATAAAGTAAGTATTTCGTATACACCAAATTATTTATTCAAGATCATTAATGAAGTTTACATGTGGTATCAGAGCATGTGTTGTGAATAAATAATTTGTTGTAAATTATGATTCATTGATATAACTGCCGAAAATTGTTTTTTGTTCGGAAAAACCAATTCGGGAATATCTCTTTCCTTTGGTCGCATCAATTAAATAATGATTGCGTTTCTTGTATGTCATCATCAAGCATTATGCTTCTGCAAATATATAATTTCATGGCCACGGTATGTTATACTGAAACTTATGTGAAAGTCCATTTGAGTAGTGGCAGAATGAGATTTATTTTCCTTTTGTTGATTTTGAAGAAAAAAAAAAAAAAATCAAGTGTGATTAGAATGATTGGATTAAGTCCTGCTTGATGAAACTCCATGGCAACCACTCTGAATGTTTATGTGATGGTCAAACTGACAGGTATCAGTACATTAAGAGTAATACATGTGTTCTCCTGGATTAATTGATGCGATTATTTATTTTTTGATTAAATTGATGGCCGCTGATCTTATGACTGTATAACACGAAAGTGTTTTATATGATGTTTATTGTATTATATGACATTAAAGCAAAATTAATTTGTTAGTCACCAAAGTGGCCTAATTAATTTTTAATGTTTAGTCATGTAATTTATCGTTATGAAGTTTTATTATATGACATTAAGATAAAATTAATTTGTTAGTCACCAAAGTGGCCTAATTAATTTTTAATTTCCGGTCATATAATATTATTGTTACAGTTGTTTATTATATGACATTAAGTGAAAAT